TAGGGGGAGTGGGGTGGTCTATGGGGGCCTGGGGCATTCCCAGGGTCCCAGGGGGGGCATTCCCCGGGAGGGGTGGAGGGCTGAGGGGAGCCTCTGGGGGGGGGTTATGGGGGAGCCCCTGGAGGCTGGACAGACCCAGGGATCTATCTGGGGGTCTTGAGGGGCTGGGCAGACCCCAGGGATCTACGAGGGTGGCCCTGGAGGCTGGTTGGACCTTGGGGAGTCTATGGGGAGGTCCTGATGGTCTATGGAGGAAGCCTCCGGGTGCTGGGTGGATGCTTGGGGTTATGGGGGAGTCTTTGGGGTCCCGGGGCCAAGCTGCTCACCATGTCGGTGCCCAAGTCGATGCACAGGATAGTGATGGTGCCCAGGGGCAGGGGGATGTTGGCCATGATGAAGAGCAGGAAAGGGGTGATCTCTGGGATGTTGCTGGTCAGGGTGTAGGCAATCGACTTCTTCAGGTTGTCAAAAATCAGGCGCCCTGTGGGGAGGCTGGGTGTGTGAGAACCGAGGCATCTGGGCTGTCTGCCCCACCCGCACAGCTGGGGAGAACCCAGGTGTCCCCCAGAACTTCCCCCTGTCCCGGCCCCCTCCTCTCCTCTCCTCCACCTCCTTTACATACTCCCTACACACCCAGCCCTGCCCCAAAGCCCCACCCACCACTTGGCCCTACCCCTCCCTCCCTCACACCCCAAAGCTCCACCCACCCACTGGCTCTGCCTTCTGTTTGGCCATGCCCCCACCTAGCCCAGGTTCTCCACCGTTTTTACATACTCCGTGCTCCAAAGCACTGCCCACCACTTGGCTGCGCCCCCTCCCCTGAGGTACAATGCCCACTGCTCAAGCCCCGCCTCCTTCCCCCAGGCTCTGCCCCCAGCCCCACAGACCCTCCTCGACGCCGGTGACAATGGAGGCAAAGTTGTCGTCCAGCAGGATCATGTCAGCCGCCTGCTTGGAGACATCGGAGCCGGCAATGCCCATGGCCACACCAATGTCAGCCTTCTTCAGTGCTGGTGAGTCGTTCACACCATCCCCAGTCACCGCAACGATTGCTCCCTGCCAGGGGGGCACAAGGCGGTGTCAACCTGGGGGGTTCCAGCCCCAGCTGAGGGTCAGAGTAGGGGTTGTGGGGGGATTTGGAGGGGTCCTGGGGGATTTAGAGGATTCAGGGAGGGATGTGGGGGGGGTCTCAGGGCCATCAGGATGTCTGGGCACTGCCAACCTGGCGCTGGCATCCCTCCACGATGATGAGCTTCTGCTGGGGTGAAGTGCGGGCGAAGACAATCTCAGTGTGGTTCTGCAGGATCTCGTCAATCTGCTCCGTGGTCATGTCCTTCAGGTCTGTACCATGGATCACACAAGCCTTGGCATCCCTGGGTGGGCAGGACAGAGGTCAGAGCTGGGACCTGGGATGTGTGGGGAAGGGGGCTGACCTGCCCCCCTCCCCAGAGATGGCTGCATTTCAAAGGCAGGGAATGGGGCCCTGGGATACCCAGCCCTGATGCCACAGCTCAGAGCCAGCTGCATCCCAGGCCTGTGAAACCAGCCCCGACACCCACCCCAGAGCCAGCTGCACTTCTTGGCTTTGTGATACCCAGCCCCCAGCCCCTCACCCTGCCTCACCTTGGGTTGACCTGGCTGACAGGGATGTTGAGGCGGGCAGCAATGTCCTCCACTGTCTCATTGCCCTCAGAGATGATGCCCACGCCCTTAGCAATGGCCTTGGCAGTTATGGGGTGGTCACCCGTTACCATGATCACCTGTGAGGGGCAGGGTTTAAGCATGAGGGAGTGAGGACCGCGCCGCACCCCCCCCCAACACACATACACCATGCCCCACCCCAGATCTAGCCACATCCCAGGTCTGTAATGCCCACTCCAGAGCCAGCAGCACCCCAGCCTTCTCTCCCCACCCCCAGCCTAGCAGGGCGCACCACCTTGATGCCAGCACTGCGGCACTTGCCCACAGCGTCGGGCACAGCAGCGCGGGGGGGATCGATCATGGACATGAGCCCCACGAAGCAGAGGTTTTCGGTAGTGAAGTTGACATCATCACAGTCGAAGGCGAAGCCCTTGGGATATTGGTCCTCGGGCAGGTAGTAGTGGCAGAAGCCTGGAGGGGGAGGGTTTCGGGGGTGTTAGACCCACCTGTGCCCCACATTTTCAGGCCTCCCAGGCACCAGACACCCCTCCAGGGTCCCCTAGACACCCCATGTTCCCCCACTCCCCGCATTTCCAGACTGCTCCAGGGTCCGTCCCCCACCATTTTGGGTCTCCCAGACCCCTCCTGGGTGTCCTGGACACCCCTCATCCCCTGTCCCCCCAGACCCCTCCAAAGTCCCCTAGACATCCCTCGCCCCCATCCCTGAACCTTGCAGATCCCTTCGGGGTTCCCCAGTGCCCTGAACCCCCCCATGCCAGACCATACCAAGGACGCGCTCGCCCAGGCCCCCCAGCTCCAGGTAGGCATTCTGGAAGGCCTCCTTCATCTCCTCATCCAGCGGCTGCTCCTTGCCGTTAAACACAATGGTGGAGCAGCGGTCCAGGATGCGCTCGGGGGCCCCCTTCATCACCAGCAGGTACCGATTGTCGTTGGGGTCCTCAGTCTCATGGATGGAGAGCTGGGGGGGCCAGAGGCAGAGGTCAGGGGCCCCCTAAAGCACCCCCAAACTGTTCCCCCCCCATCGCTGCAGTGGTACAGGCCCCAATTTAGGGTATGCCTCCCAGAGCAGGCTGGGAATCTCCCAAGCCCCCTGGGATGGTAGGGCTGCAGCCCCCAGGATACCCGTGCTTGGAGGAGAGCTTGGGGAACAGCTGGGGCTTTTAAATTCACTCCTTGCACTTGAAGGGGATGGTGGGGGGTTTGGGGGCAGGGCATGGGGAAAGGAGGCAGGGTTTAGAGTCCCTCTATGTGGTACAGGTTGGTGGAGTGGATGGGGTATGGGGGGACTTCAGGGTGCTGGGGGCAGGCTTAGTGTGACTTAGTGGTGATAAATGGATGCTGGGGGGATGGGCCTCCACAAGTGGGTGGGGCTTAGGGTTCTTAATAGCTGGGTTGATGATGAAGGGGATCTAGGGGCAAGGTTTTGGAGTACTAGGGGTGCAAGGCCAGAATAAGAGGGGCAAGGCTTAGGGTTCCCAGTAGTTCAGGGGCAGGCAAAATACGGCCTGCAGGCCAGATCTGGCCCACAAGGCCATTCTATCTGGCACGTAGAAAGCCTAAAAAATTTAGAAAATATTTATCTGTTCCTGGCTGCCTGTCAAAGACTCTAGGAGCCAGGAGCAGAAGGACCCAGGGGGAGCTGGCTGCAGGACACAGGAGCCCAGCCCTGCCCACCCCACCCCACCCCAGCCATTTCCCTGCTTCCTGCCCCCACCCTGCTCCAGCACCAGGTGGTGACTCCCGGCTGCATGGCTGGACCTAGAAGCACAGGGCACCGCCCATACAGGGGGCGGATTGGGGTGTCTGCGCAGGCAGGGGCAGAGAGCGTGACTGTGACTGGGTGCATGCTTGTGTGTGCACGCAGGAGCAGCATGTGTGTGTGTGTGTGTGTAGGCAAGGGTAGCACGCATGTGTGTGCGTGCATGTGTGCATAGGCAGGGGCAGTGTGCGTGCATGCGTGTGCATGTGTAGGCAGGGGCAGCGCGTGTGCGTGTGTAGGCAGGGGGAGCGCGTGCGTGCATGCGTGCGCATGTGGGCAGGGGCAGCAGGTGTGTGTGCATGCGCATGTGGGCAGGGGCAACGTGTGCACATGTTGGTGGGGCAGCGTGTGTGCATGCAGGCAGGGGCGTGTGCATGCATGTCTAGGTGCATGTCTAGGTGGGGCAGTGTGTGTGTGCGCACGTGCATGCATGTGGGCAGGGCTAGTGTGTGTACGTGCACGCGCACGCATGTGGGCAGGGCTAGTGTGTGTGTGCGTGCGCGCGTGGGTGGGGCAGTGTGTGCATGCGTGCACGTGTGGGCGGGGCAGTGTGTGCATGTGTGTGTGTGTGCGCGTGCGTGTGGGCAGGGGCAGTGTGCATGTGTATGCACATAGGGGCAGAGGCAGTGTGTGTGTGGGGGGGGCAGGGGCAGCATGCACATCAGCAGGGGCAGCGTGTGTCTGTTTGTAGGGCAAGTCCCACAAGCACACCCCACCATATACATGCACCCATACCCTGCCTTGCACTGCCATACATGAACACTCCCACCCCTGCACCCCCTCCCACACCCCAGCTACCCAACCTCCCACAAACCCCATACCCACCCACACCCCCATGCTTCCTCAACCCAACACCTACAGCTCCCCACAATAAACAAGCGTAAGACTTCATTTTAAGCTATTGTGTGATCACCTCTATGTACACTACAGAGACCCATGTAAACCAGGCCAAAAGTAGTTTTTGAAATCGAATTAATGAATGTTTTCAATGTGCGCTTTTTAGAATATAATTTGGTATTTTTCTGGTTCTGATATGGCAAAGCCCCTTACTGAACAGAGTACTTCTGGTAGCAAAGGTCAGGGGGTAGGGGGCGGGACATTCAGTCCCAAGATGGGGACCAGGGGGCAGGACCTGTCCAGGGGCGGGGCTACCCATGTGGCCCTCCACAGCTTGCCATGATTTCAGTAAGTGGCCCTCTGCCTGAAATAATTGATCATCACCAAGTACTAGGTAGAGCAGGGGCAGGCAAAGGCATCTAGGGGTGGGGTTTGGGGGCACTGGGTGCGGGGCCTGGAGGAGGGGGCAGGGCTTAAGGTCCTGAAGGTGGTACTTGGTGATGATGAAGGTGATCTAGGGGCGGGGCTTAGTGTTAATCTACCTGGTACTCTGTGATGATGAAGAACCCAGGGGTGGGGTTTTGTGGCACAGGGGCTTATGGTCCTGCATACAGGGGTCCTGCATATGGTCCTAAAGCTGATACTTGGTGCTGATGAAGAGGGTGTGGGGGGCGGGGCCTGCCCCCCCATACCTGGTACTTATTGGTGGAGTTGAAGGGGATCTCGGCCACCTTCTTGTTCCGCTCCCTCATGAGCTTCACAGAGCCGGACGACAGCTCGATGCACTTGAGCAGTGCCGACTCCGAGGCATCTCCGGCCACATCCCGCTGCAGAGGGCAAGGGTCAGAGCAGGGACCGGCACCCTCAAAGCCCCCCCAACTCTGCCCCCAGGACACCCTCCCAAAGTCCCCCCAACCCTCCTGCACTCCCAGCCCCACCATGCCATGGTCCCCCAACCCTAACCCTAGCCCCCAGCCCCCCACCTTGAGGATGGGCACATTGTCCTGCCCCCCCTTGAAGACAGCGCGGTTGCAGAGTCCTGCGATTTGTGACAGAGCCACCCACGTGGCCGAGCTCTTGTCGAAGGCGGTGCCTGGGAGGAGCGAATGGCGGGGGGAGGGGAGCCCCAAAAGACCCTAGCCCCGCCCCCAGGAACTCTACCGCTACCTCCACATACCCCCTCCTGCCTGCCTCTGCCCCTACGTTCTCAAGCCCCGCCCCTGAGTCCATGCCCCTCTCCCCTCAGCAGGCCCTGCCCCCAGGGTCCTTGTCCCCTCCCCCCCCACAAGCCCCACGCCCGGGCTGACCGGACTGGTCCTCGGTGGTGTCGGCCTCGTGGATCTGGTTGTCGAACCACATGTGGGCCACGGTCATGCGGTTCTGCGTGAGGGTCCCGGTCTTGTCGGAGCAGATGGTGGAGGTGGAGCCCAGCGTCTCCACCGCCTCCAGGTTCTTCACCAGGCAGTTCTTGCGCGCCATGCGCTTGGCCGTCAGCGTCAGGCACACCTGGGGGCGGGAGGGGGGCACCACCCGG